TCCTTATGTAAAGCTGACAAGCATTGTTGGACCAGCGGCCCATTGATTGAATTAAATGGTCAAGTACTCCATTGCGAGCAGCGACAGTAGCGGTGTTACCTGTTATTCTAAAGCAACTACAGTCAAATTTTCTCATTTCTACTTTACGTTTATTTTAAAAATAAATTATGTAGTTTTAGCTTATTTGTCAGAGTCTTTTTAGTTGGTGTTTATAGTTACAGCTATAGTTTTCCCTCAAAGTTTTTACCCTAATATCAAGAGCAAGTAGACAGATGCCACTCAGAAAAACAACAAAAAACATTTTGCAATTTACCTGAAGACGGAGAACGGTTGATTCAGCGAAAGAAAAACTCAAAGGTGTGGGCAGATGGCAGCATACATGAACTCGGAGCGATGGCTCAACCAAAGGCAAATGGAAAATAATGTTTTTCTCTTTTGATTATAAAGAAAGAAATAACTCCATGGTGGATGCACTTGGGAGGTTTGCTAGGCACTCAAGCTAGAGTCACACTCGCTTACCTTGCGCGCTTCTTTCATGCTTAGCAACCTCCCATGTGCATCCATAACTCCATGGTTGCAAGCTGCATGTTTACCATTTCTTAAATACGTGTAACATTACATCTTTGTGAACAAGAACATAAATACTAATACAATGTATGATCCAAGATAGGGGCCAAAATCGTACTGAAGGAGCTAGGTTTGACATATCTAGAACTAAAGGAGATTAAGCTGGTTGAAGACTATTTAATGGTTCTGGTGATGCATTGATTTAATTTCATTGTTCTTACTTCCAAGGAGAAAAAAATTAAGTACTTGATTGTCAATTGAAAAACTATTCACTAACTTCCTTGCTTGTAGCATCTGATCTGAAGTTGCCTGCCATCATGGGTGCAGTTACTTGGCTTTTAATACTCCATTTCAATATCTTTTTCAGGAATCCTGCAAGGCTGCAATCTCACAACAATACTTCAGCGGTAATTTCTCTTACACTCTTGTAATACCATAGATTACAGTTCAACTTCTTCACCCAGGGGCATGCGAGTCTCTATGGCGGTCAGCATGTCTAGTTATTCTGAAGTGATTGAGAACAACTCTTTACTGAATTTTTTGCTTTGCACAACGAAGAGATGTGGTAAAACATACCGTGTTGCAGTTCTGTTTTACTCTATATTTTCCACTTCGTTAGTGATCATTGAAATCCAACACTGGTCTTTGTTGAAAATTTGTGCTTGTTGCAGAGCAGGGGTTTAAACAATTTGGAGCAATAAGGCCCTTAAATTTTGCCAAATTGAGTTACTACTTTCGCGTAGTTTTGCTCTCGAACAGTCACTATCTTTCCCACTAACATTTTAGGGTGTAATGCACTGACTTTATGAGGCTTTTCAATATGAATGGCTACCATATCTCCAATTTTTAAAGCTTTTCTTAGCTTCCGCTTTTCTTTCTGTTTGCTGGATCATCTTTTTATTGTAGGTAGACTGATTGGAGATTATTTTCTGCCTCTTTGCTTGCCAGTGATCATAAAACTCACTGGTCGGCTATGAGGAATGATTCTTCTACATCTGCAGGGTGCTGTTTTACTTCTGTGTGATCTTTAAAGCCAAACACTGCTTTGTACAGCTGTAAGGAGTCATAGCTATGGCTCTGTGGTATGTTATGTTCATGGTGTAGCTTGCTTCTCTCGTAAAATGGCACTACTGTCCAAGTAGCCGGCTCCATATCCCGTAGCCGGCTCCGGGCGAAAATCGCCGCCCACTTGGTTAGTATCATCTAATCTCGTAGTCATGGCCATTTCAATGTTTACCAACGTTGTGTGCAAACCGATACATTTGTACATTGTGCAAAGACTTCACACATTTTCTGACATGTACATCGAATTCTTTTTCTCTGGTTGGCACTTGGCGGTAACTACAACTTATTTGTAAAACTGTCATTCGATACATTCTTATCAAAGCCGAAAGTCCAGTGTCGACCACGGCATGCATCACAAACTGCGACTTTCACACGCGTACAATTTTCAGATTTTGAATTCGACGAGTCATATACGAATCTTTAAAACTTTAGACGCACCTGTTAAAACGTCAGGTCAGTTGGTAAGGATTAGGAATGATAACTTCAGGAGTAAAAAGAGTAAAGAGCGGATATAAACCTTGACTTCCCGCGGAACAGTCTGAATACTTAAGGTGGTTGGTTCGCTCGGGAGACACAACATTAAATAGCAATTTCTAACTAACCTGCAGGGCAGCAAACGTTTTTTAGGTCACTCATCTAAAATCAAAAGAGTAAATGAAGAAGACAAGAGACTAAAAAGGCTAAAAAACAAACACCTACCTCCCATTCGCTGAGCTCTTCCACACCGCTCCCCCGACTGCTCCAACACGATCCCAGAAAGCAACGCAGCAAGCAGCCAGACAATCGGTCAGCGTTTGGCTCTCGTTCTAATTTTCGCGCGGCTAAAACCGAAAATCCGGGGGTTTTGTTTTGCTCTGAAACCAAACGGAAAGGCAGGCTACAGGCTGGGGGCACCTAACGACTGTTTTCTGTGAAATATCTGTTTGGAGAAGGAAATATTGCCTAGAATTTTCTATTACTTGAGGACGGCTAAAAATTTCTGGATGATCGTTCCATTCATCTACAATTTGCGAAGTTAATCTTATAAATTCCCTACGATTTTTTGAACGATTTTTTGAAGTTTAATTTTCCCGGATTCAAAAAATTTTGGCGTTAGGAATCAGAAAATGTTCTAAGTTAGCCAAATTTCATCTTTTTCGTACATGAAAAAAAAGCAGGAACCTAAAACTTTCGGATTCTTTGCGGGTAGTAGTATAAACAAAAAATATGATTTGGCGTTAGGAATCAGAAAATGTTCAAATTTCACTCGCCTAACTTTCGTAATTCGAAATATCACAAATTTCATCTAAAATTTTCGGAAAAAATAATACTCAAGCCCTTGTAACTTCGAAACGAACTCAAGTTCCCCTAGGATGACCGAAAAGATACAAAATTTTATAGCGACACTTAGAATGCATTTCTAGATATCTAAAAGTACTCTGGATAGCCTAAAAAGTGTTTTCAATGTATTTCGGAGGAAACCATCGTTGGGTGCCCCTGAGGCTAGCAAATAAGGTACTCGATGTCAGAGTCATTGAAACGGTTGCAGCGGAAACCATTCTTAATTACTTCAACTGTGTAAGTAATTTCAGAAAGACAAAGTTAAGGTGGCTGAACACAGTTTTCGCAGTTTGTAAGTATATGTCATTTGCCAAATCATGGCAAGAGAAAGGTTCAGCTCACATACTGAAACTTGGCAACTGAAAAATATACTGATGAAAGATTTTGATTGACTGGTAAAATGTGACGTTTTCGTAGTTTCCATGGCAACATGAACGATTGAGTACAACCTTAAAATTTCACTTTTGCTTAGTTTACATAAAATTCGCTCATTAGATTTTCCTATAAACTTGCACACAGCTTTCGAGTTTGTGAGGCTTATATTTGGAGGGGCTTATACACAGACGGGCTTTTCCGAATTCTATGGTATAAGATTGTCATGAACCAGTTTTCACTTTACAGAGTCTCCTTCTATTAAACTGATTCCGATTCATTTTTTCAATAAACAAACCAAACAGTATCAAAAATGTACGCAGGAAATAATATATTAATATTGTTTCAAAGGCGATTTCATTTACATTATAAATAGATACAGGATACAAAAGCACAAATTTCCAATATTCACTAACGTGATTCTCGTCAGTCTATGAATTAAATCTTCACAGAAGATTGATTAAAAGAAGTTAAGTCATGCACGTAAAGTTGCAGAGGGACCTGTATGCCAACTTCAGTACAACGTCAGTTGGTACCCAAAAACATGTGCCACTGACTTGGTAAATTGTCATTGTCATATACGTGTTATTTGTCTAAGAGAATAATATGTACACATACCACAGTAAGCAAATAGATGTATCAAATACCTAAAAACTTTGGAAAATTAAATAACAGTTGAGTTTTCTTTGCAAAGTTACAAGTAAAGCAATCCGCCAAGCGACAAAATTGACGGAACATGCATGCACTACAAAAAGAGGTTTCTTGGATGTAATTACCTCACACCTTTTTTGGCACAAGACAAGTTGATCAATGTATTGCCTGATGCAGCCGTGTGATGAATCTCTATGAATCATCACAGGTCGGGGAGTAGCTAAGCGCGCATGAAAAACATGGATGTCTTCAGGAGTGTTAAGGTAGGCATGTAAGCTTAAGGCCCGCATGGAACTTGACGACAGTGTTAAGTATGAATTTGTTATACATCTGAACGACTCCAAAAGTAAGCAAATAAAAGGATGATATTCCGTATGGTTTATGTCATAGGCCATTTCCGAGTTGCATTAGCCTCTTTGAAAACGAGGGCCAGTGCAAAGTCTTAGATAGGAAAAAAATCAAATAAAACTCATTTTCAGTTAAAAGGGTTTTACACTTAACCTCATTTTGAAAGTGGGGGAATTGGAATCTAGGAAATGACCTATTCAACCCCAGTTTGTTAGCAAAGAGAGATTATCTGACAAAGTTTACCAATAGATTATAACCAATGGCAGACGTATCCAGGTTTCGCTACATGTGTAAAAGAGACCAGCGCTAACGGGCGAGAGAAGTCCTGCAATGTTGGCTATAAATCACTGCAAAGGATCAGTTTGGAAAATCGCACAGGAAATGATCCCCGAAAAAAAGACAGTACAAATGCCTTCTTTTGGTTGAGTTTAACTGGTGGAGAAAAGTTGAATTCATTTTCTTACCTATAACTTCACCCTAATTCTTCATTCTGAGAAGAATAAAACAAACTATCTTGTTGTGCATATGCCACTTCCACGTTTTCAATGAGGCACCTTATTTGCCCACCCCCCCTCCAAGTTTGAATAACCGTTGTTTGTCATTTCTCCTGGGTATTAATTATGAAAACAACACTCGTCCAAAATTTTGGGGGGGCAAATGAGGTGCATTATGGAAAATGGGGAAACGGCGAGTGCGTATTAATAACAGGATATAGAAAAATAATTTATTCATTTCTATAGTGTCCCCTCCACATCCAGAACCTCGTCAAGTTCAGAAGCCATTGAATTGAGCAAAGCCAAAGTTGCAGTGACATCTTCTTTCTCTGCCTCATCATCAGTGTCCATCAGTAAATCACCTGAGGTATCTTCACAAACGCTAAGACTTTCTCCAGCTGCCGTCTCAGCAAGACTATGGTTTTCATTAGAATTATCCATGAGCTTTGTAACTGTTGATTGATTGCTTGTTGAAATTTCCTGCGTACATGAACTAGATATGTGGTTTTCGGTAGAGGTAGCACTGTGTGGTGAATGTCTTGAATTGAGTTGCAATGATGATGTGGATATACCAGACTTGAGTGATGTCGCAGAGTTTGTATGTGAATTCTTTGTTGGTGGTGATAAATTAATGTTTAAAAGAGAAGATATTTTTGACGAAGCCTCTGAAACAGTATTTTTCATACTACTAACAAGATCATTTTCTGTAGTTGACGTTACAACAGGTGACGAATGTTCCGAAGATGATAAATCCTTCATGCTACTTTCACTTGTTGTAACACTATTTGAAGTCTCTTTAGGTGTGTTCTCCTTTTTGGCTGCATTCACAATCTCCATTGGATTCTCTGAAAAACAAATGGCACAAGGCTTCATCAAAAATCGTTCCAAGACGTATTTATCTACACCTTAAACCTTAAATTAGAAAGGTGGCTAGAATCATCCTTAAAAGGATGACTGTCATTTCATAGGGGTTAAGTCACGGCTGTGTAGTTAACTCTGTTAATACAGTAAATCCTCTATGAAGTCTCCCCCCCCTTCGAAAAAGCCCCACCCTTTCAGGGGAAGAAAGTTAGGGCCTAATTACATGGAGGCGGGGGACGCTAGGTAGGTGAGGTAAACCGCTTAGGTGGGGTAACCCGCCTGTCCATATAATCTCTCCTTTGATCACGTTTACATGATAGGTGGGGTGACCCGCCACATGTTACCTCACCTACCCCCACCTCCATGTAATCAGGCCTTAATAAGCCCCCTCCCCTAATTAATCTTCACTAACAAATGTACAAGACTGTATTAATCAATCATGACTGTAAAACTTCGTATGGACTAATCCGGGATGGTTTATTTGCCTACTGGAAGTTCAGGTTTGATTCTGATCCTCGGTTGCATGACCTTCAACCTTTTTGTTCTCCACTATTCTAGTTCTTTATGGAAAACTGATACCATCGTCTTTTCTAAATTAAAATAAGCCCCCTCCCCCCTCAAATAAGCCCCCCATGTCAAATGGGCTTGAAATAAGTAAGCTCCCGAGGGGCTTAATAGAGGATTTATGATACATACACTAAGGAACTTAACGTTGGTGGATGAAATTACTCGTCACTGACAAAATCACAGCTTTGAGTTATTTCTTCTTTAAATGCTTTGAGTAGTTATTTTCGTGTTTCAGTCGATATCGAAGCGGTTCCCAACGTTTGACAAATTTTGCAACACAGTTCCTTTACCGAATAATTAACATTAATTAACTATAAATACCATAAGAACAAGCATGACTTACAAAATTTGAAAAGCCACAGTAGAAAATTACACTGAAAGAAATTCATTGGATTGACCTTTGTTTAGGCAACTTGAAATCTTAGCAACAGCCCTAGTACATGTTTAGCCTGCAAACGCTGATGTACTTCAAGATGTCGCATTCAAGGGCTAGTGTATGTTAAGTTACCAACTAGGAATTCACCGGACAACTGCATTTATATAGGTTTCCTAGCAGTTCTTTAACCAAGAGAGGGCTATTTTTTTGCAATTTGCTGCCTTGAAAATTTCATAATTATTAAAGATGTCAGTGACTCACAAGCCAACACTGTGACCCAGGAGTAACATAAGCTGGTATGGCATAAGCATGAGTAAATAGGATATACTAAAAAAGGAGTGGACTAGGTAGGATCGCAAAGGTACTTAGCAGACCTCTTCAAGTTTCATGTTACCAATAGAACCTGAAAGAAAACTCGTTTAACTCTTTACCTTTTGCAGTTTTCCTTTCTTGAGCTAATGCAGCACGTTCGTTAGTCAAAAACACTCTGTACAGCATGACCATTTCAGCAGATGGGTGCTCCCGCTATACCACAAAATACAATGAAACAACAAAATGCGCGGCCAGACTCAACAACTCTAAACCATACAGTACAATTAAGTAACAACAACTTTTTAGGAGTGGAATGTCACAGATTTTCCAATTTTCCTGCACAAAAGTTGATGGAAAAGGTGCTTTGTTTGTGAACAATAGTTTCATCCGGTATGGTTCATAAAACCTTTTCTAAAGATGCATGTTAGAGGTACAAGGATAGGCTATTCAATACCATGCATATAAGGCTGTACTCTGTCTAGTCAATAAGAATTATTATTGTTCATTCAAAATATTTCCCCGATTCTGATTGGCTAAAAGTGCACACATATTTCACCATAACCAGCTACCGATGACCAAATTTGGAAGAATTTTGCAATTACTCAACCGATGACGTTGAAAAAGCAGCTTTCTTACAGGTTAATGCACCATTAACCAAGAAGACCTGGGGACAAGGTTGAGTTGTTTTGGTTGTGAAAACAAAAATGGTGGACACTTCACAGTAAGCACTACAGCTGGAACTAGGCAAAATAACAGCTAAAAACATAGCAAAAACAGCAAGAAGAAAACTCAGAGTGCGACATCTGCTATCTGGAGAACATTTGCAGAGCTGGACAAACCTAAATGTACACTATCGAAGATGAAATTAACATCAATGCAGATAAGCATGTTTTAGCTGTTTTTAAACTAGGAATTACTTTGAATGAATAATTAAGCAATTAATGAATGAGGCTAAGTAGGATATGAAGAATTAAGCAGATTGAGGAGGGTGTTATTCGGCCTCGGTGGATAACACCCTCCGAGATCTGCTTAATTCTTCATATCCTACGAAAGCCTCGTTCATTAATTGCTAACTATGAGTCTATCAAAGACGAACTTAACGTCGAAGGAGGTAAGCATGTTTAAGCTATGTTTTTAAACAAAGAATTATTTTGAATGAATAATAAAACAATTATGGAATTTTGCTTTAATTCGTATCATATGAAGAATTATGGAGATCTCGGAGGGTGTTATCGGCCCAACACCCTCCTCAATCTCCACAATTCTTCATAAGATGCTTAGCCTCATTCATTAACTGTTGAGTAATAAAACCTCAGGATCATTCTTGCACAATATGAACCATTTCACATGGTTTAAAACAAGAGAAAAAAAATATGCATGTTGCTGTATAAGCCTTAAAATAAACAAATATGCTCACCATACTCTCATCAAACAGTAGCTGTCGATACTTCTCCATCATTTTTTGACTGCGTTTAACAAGTTGGGTGGATACAGCACTGTACAGACCATCAGCTAAGAGTGGAACAAAATAAAAATGTCAGGAGGAAAGGGTTAAAATATTCACATGCCCCCGACTGAAGGAAAAAACCAACACTAATAATATTTGAATGTAACATACTGGATAGCCTCTTATCATTTTCAAGTTTACTCAAGTTTCATTTCGTTTTAAAGTACAGTTGACATCTGATAACTCGAACCTTCAAGGACACTTGAAAAAAGTTCAAGTTATCTAGAGTTTGGGGGTTCAATGCACTGTTTATGCACTGTTTGATCTCTATGCATATTGTGTACTCACTACTCCTAAGAGAATTTCATGTATTTCAGTGACAACAACACACTACACTTATCATCATAACTTAGAAATTGCATGCAGTGAATTCTCTCCCAAAATGTAGACATGTTCGGTCCTCTTCTAGCAAGTGACCCCTGGTGATTTGATTCTCTAAAGTGACCACCTCCTGTAATGACCACTAAGGGCCTGTTTAAATGGAGGTGGGAGACCCCAGACAGGTGAGGTAACATGTGGAGGGTCACCCCACATATCACGTAAACATGATCAAATTAAAATGAGAGATTATATGGACAAGCGGGTTACCTCACCAACCTAGCTTCCCCTGCTTCCATGGTGATTTGGGTAGCTTATGGGAGGTTTGACCGTATTAACTATGGGGATTCCTGAATTTATATTCATGCAGTATGGGTCTCCAGTCAGGATGTATACAGGGATTCTTAAATCAACCAGGCAGAACAGATAATTAGGTTAGGGGTTACCCTAAGACAATTCTCAAACTATGCTTAACATAAGTTTTTGTCTCAGATTATAGCCCTTATGTTTGAGACCAAAACAAAAAACTAGTAAGTTACTTAGGTTATTCTAGCAAATGGAATGCAAATAGGCCAGTTTCAAATTATCAAAATTCATACTTTACTCTGAGGCTGAGGGGAATAAAACAAAGAAATGAATTATTTATCCCTGAATCTCAATGCCATTTCTTTTGTTTTAAACCCCTCTTCCTAAGAGCCAAGTATAAACGGATCACTTTAGGTTTCTCGGAAACTGCCCACCCACCCTTTCCTTAAGCTAACATTAACACTTCTTACCGAGGGCAAAATGTTTGCTTAGGGGAGGGGTAGGTAGGCAGTTTCCCCAGAAGCCTACATTGATCCGTATAAATTTTAATAATTGAAAATTGGTCTATCAGAGACTATTGCCATTGTGAACAGGTTAAAAACTGTCTGGACTAGGACAGGAAAAGGTGTCCATTGTAGAGAGACAGCTGTTAAAAAGAGGTAATTGCTAGTAAGGTTTCAACTGTGGGATAAAGTGCTCTACTAGGGCTCAATGAAGTCCTGTCCAGTTGTCCAGGACAACTAGATTTTCCTGCTAAGCAAGTAACCTTGCCCGATGTGCAAGGGCCAGGGAAGTCATCTGACCCTAGGCTAGCAAAATGTGACAAGCTGGAATTCAAGGCTTGTTTACAACATCCTAAATGACAGTCAGGAGAATGTAAGGCACTTACCTTTTTGAATGTCTTCTGGAGTTGGGCTTGGGTCATAGCAAACATGGTAAGGTGTGAGCCTTTTAACAACATCTCCATGAGAAGTGAATGGTGTCTTGAAATCAGGGTGGAGAACAGCCTGTTGGTCTTGTGTGAGTCCTTGTTTTAATCTTAAAAAGTAAAATTGATGTTCTGAATGATAGAGATACTCTAGGTTTCAAATGAAAGAACAGACAACTTTAATTGACAGTAATGACCCTTTGGTTTAACTATGAGTCTGAAATCCAGTAGTCCAGTACCACTTTGGAATTTTGAGCTAACTACATCCCATGAAACTTCCCTGTTGATGACTCCAGCATAATTATGTTAGGAATCAGAATGAAGAGATAAGAGGTAACAAGAGGAAAGTGAAGTTGGTTTGAAAACTTGCACATGTACTTAATCTCATACTTGTAGATTAAGCTGCAAAAACAAGATTGAGAACAAATACAAGTTTAAGAATAGGCAGTCGATGACTACATGTGGTTACTACTGCAAAGTAGAATGAATATTGGACAGTCTGCATTCCTTTTATTAACTGAACAATAACATGTACAAGCCCTCAGGATAACAGACATTGAAAATATCATAAAGTAAATGACAGTTAAGATCGAATGACAGATAAAAATTCCTGAATATTCATTTTAAATCATAACAGTCTAAAACAACAGCAAACAATGAAGTTTTTTTTAACAAAAGGTATCGCGATGGAATCTGCCTCCGAATGAATATGAGGTGCAGATTCAAGAGACTAGCTGATCTGTGAAATTATGCCTTTTGAACGTTAAGATAATATTGTCAACAACCACAACGAAGAATAGGTGTCCTGTTTGAATCTACTCAATATTGCACAAGTTGCATCATATTTAAAAGGTCAATGGACTGGACAATTCCTAAACAATGCCTTTTGAACCATAACAGTGTGTAGCACAACAATAAATAACAATTTCACTAAAGAAAGTTATCCTGTGTGAGTCGATGTGCTAGTTCTTTGTGTCTTAAAAGACATTTTTCATTCCCAAAAGGGAAAAAAGTGTGTCCAGAAGGACATTTTCTGTTCCCATAAGGAAATTATTTGGGTGCCGAAAGACAGTATCCACCACATGGCGCTGATGAAGCTGTTGGTGTTTCTGAGTTGTTGTACTGATCACTCGACCATCAAATGTGGCAACAACCCCTTCGGTTCGGCGGAAAATCTCTGCAAAGCTTGAGTGAAGCCAAAAACTGCTTTAGGGAAAAACACTTGAAATGTAAATTGAGAGCCGTACCTAGCTGCAGGTGCCAAATAGCACATAATCATTATCAGACAGAGAGAGATCTCACCTTGGATTGCACCCAACAAGACAGAAGGCAAAACACAAAAAGCATATGGCAAGTAAAACTACTCTTACAACCAATGATATTTCAACAAGGCATGCCACACCATCGCTGTCGATCGCTCACCTTCGTGTAAACAATAACTCCCGACTGTAAAAGATATGAGTTTTGAAACACAGCAGGGAATCAATGTTGAACTCGTTTGTGTCTCGTAAGACATTTATGGTTCATTCCCAAAACGGAAAAAAAAGCATCTCGAAGGACATTTTCTATTCACTCTCCATGAAAGTCAACAATAACAACAAGCATCGGTGTCAGCAGTTTCGTCAAAAGCCCGAGCACTTTCCAAAGGTTAGGATTACTTACCAGTACACTCACTCATACAAAGTGCCAGCATAGCACCTACTACTACTACAAGTAGTAGCCACAAAAACCCTCAAAATTCAAGTACCTTATAAAATATTATCAAATATCACACTAATCCTTTCCTCAATGTTCAGATATTTACTTATGTGCTAGTCAGTAACAGGAAAGAGTTATCATTCTGGGGTTACAGTCAGCTCAAAATTCCAGTCATACTTGTAGTTAAATCTAAAGGTCATTAATGACTCTAGTAACAATAGGGAGCTTAATGGAAAAAAAACAGTGACAGAGCATAAACTTCACTTATAACCTTGCTTTCTTTCAAATTTTATAGTAGTTACGCCAACAGAGGTTTTAGGAAAACAACTGAGCATAAAATACAGCAATAGTGAATGTTTTTCTTGCTGGCTGAGTTTGCGAAAGAGGAAAGAAATTAATTTCTCTCACCCTGAATGGACCTAAGGCACAACGCACATTTTAGGGTATCAGTTTTCACACTCACCACATAATCCAGTTTTTGTTCCTTGCGGTCAGTGCAACAGCAGATAGTAATATTGAATGATGTCATGATGACTCAATGTCAACCTTTTCAAATTCATGTAACTCTTAATTCTGTGAGTTTATTATATTAACGAAAGTTTAGTTGCAAGTGATAAAACTGCAACTGATAAAAATGGGAATACAATATTGTCCAGGAATTACCTGTATTTCTCTTTTAATCACTTGTAGAAGAATGCCATATTCAAATTCTCAATAAAATTTCACATGAAAAAATTTTAGAAGTTTCAAATTGTACTTATGCCATGGCCACAAAGAAATGTACCAAAAAGTGTGACACACATGCAGAGCCCTTGTTGTTGCTTGCTGAATATCACCCTTTTTTGACTTTCTCTTCTTTTTCTTCTTTGCCAAAGATAGCAAAATGAAACTAACCTAGTGGCAGCTTTTGGTTGTTCTGGAGCATCTGATGAGTGTGGACGCTTCACTCCTTTACTTGTCTCCTGTTTGATTGGAACTGAAATCTTCACACTCTAAGAAATTAACAATAAGCAAATAAATAACTGACAACGACCAGGTAGGTTCCAATAAAGATAAAACTGGCCCATTTTTCAATTAAGAATCCATGTAAAGAAAGTGTACAGGCCTTTGCGAGCTGTAGCGTTACAAAATTAATTACAACTCTTGCTTTTAATCCCAGCTGGGCTAATGTGGAAGAGGGGCTTGTGCAGGGCCGTCACTAAGGTCCAGGCACCAGGGATCACCCCTCGACTACTAACAGCATTACCCACAGCTACTTTCAAAGTAATATCAGACCAAAAGAGCGCCAGAGAAGTCTAGACTGAAAAGGAAATACCAGTAATCATGGGAAAAGTAAAACTGAAAATTGAAAACACCTCTGAAATACATGAATATGGCATTACTGGCATCGGAATTTTAAACTTCCCTCTAGCCTCCAAAGCTTCTGGCAGGTTCACCACTCAGTTCCCTGCCTACTGATTATACATTGTAATAAACAGTTCTAGTGCGTCTCAAGCCCATTTCAGACTCCTAATTTTGCATGAGGCAAACCTAATTCAAATTAAGGCCAACAAAAATTATTTTGACTGGCTCAATTGATTCGGATGATGATCTTAATTCTAGCCAAACTAAACACAAAAAGAGAGAAATGCTCTCTGAATTAAACTGCTTGCAAAATACTTAATTTATGCATAAGGTTGAGCACATGAAAAGCTCAGCATGTAAATCAAAGTTGTTCCAAACTTGCTCCAATGTTGAACTTCCCAGCCAGTACGACTGTGCCATTCCAAATTGAAATAGGCATTCGTCATTGATTAAGTCGATGAACTTTTCATGTACTTAACAAAACATACGAGGTTAAGCTCACAAAAAGTTAGGCATCTGAAAAAGGGCCTAATTACAAAAACGGTCATGGTGTAAACACCATCTTACCTGTGAGACAGGTTGTCGACCTGATGTTTGAAGAATTCTAGGAATATGTTGCATTTTACCCTGTGTCTTCAAGCTAGCTTGTCTTTGCGATTGTAAAGAATGTTGCTGATTTTGCACAACTACTTGTTTCACCACTGATCCTTGAAGCTGCTGCTGCAATTGTAGTTGTTTCAACTGTTCAGGTGTCAGTCCTTTCGGCTGAATATTGCTACCTGTTTGAAGATTGTTCGAGGCAAGTTTCTGCTTCGCAGCTTGCTGTTGTAATTGAAATTGTTTCAATGCCTGGAGTTGTTGAGGAGTAATTTGAATAGTTTGGTGTGACTTTGTTCCCTGCAATCCCAACTTCTGCAAAAGCTCCGGCTGTTTTATAATAAACACCTTCTGAACTCCTGTATTCTGTGCTGGCTGTGCCTTTGTTTGGGAAACAGTGTTGGGTTGTGTTGTAGCTGCTATTTGGATCATGGGAGTCGCACCAGGTTTGGCCTGTTGAAGTACGGGCTTGGCTTGCTGGATAACAACCCCGTGATTTAACACTTGTGCTGTAGAAACTTTGTTAGGCTGATTTTGTACAAAGGTCACTCCTTGGAGCAGACGCCCACCCTGGTCCTTTGTAATCACAAGGTTTTGATGGGTTAACAAGTTACCCTGCTGCTGTCCAAGAACTTGCCCTACTTGCTTCGGCTGAGTATTCAATACTTGCTGTAACTGTACATTAACAGGTGATGCAGCAGTTACTTCTGTCCTCTGCTGCAGATTCGAATGCCTTACTTGTGGGCTGACATTAACTTTTAACTGTGTGTTTTGCTGTCCTTGGGCAGTAGATTGTGTCGGAACATTCTGAACCAAAATCTGTTTTTGACCAGACTGTTGAACATGCTGAAACAATTGAGGTTGCTGTTGGACAAGATTCTGTGCAGATTTTTGTTGTGACACTTGCTGAAGCAGCTGTTTAATAACTTCCTCCTGGACTACAATATTCTGTGGTTGGGGAGCTTGTACAGTTTGTGTAGTGACTACTTGGTTTTGTTTTAGAGCAGCCTGAAGTTGTGCCGGAGTCAACACCTTTTGCTGAACAGTTTGTGCAATCTGTGGTTGTTGTTGCTGGTTAGAAAGTTTCTGCTGAACTAACTGCTGAATTTGCTTAATTTGATTGGCTGGCAAAGACTGCGACTGAATAAGCTGAGTAGCATGAGTGGTTGGAGTCTGGCCTCTAATTAAATTTAAAAGCTGTTGTGCTTGAATTAGCTGTGAGTGGTTTTGTTTTTGGACAGTTCCTGGGGGCACTTGGTTGATTATTGCTCGTACTTGTGGGGTATTCTGATTCGACACTTGTTGGAGAACTATCTTCTGCTTTGTACCAACCATATGCGAAGGCGACAAACCAGTTTGTTGAGGCAAAATGTTTGGCTGTTTCGGAGCAATCCTTTTAACAGGAGTGGTTGATGAAAGAATTTGTTGTGAGGTATTTGGAGACAATGATTTTATGCTATGGAAATTTCCACCAACAGCATTAGTTTTCATATTTCCTTTAGAATCAATTCCATTTAATGCCACATGCTGCCCAAGAGGAGAAACACTCTGTTGTCCAGTAACGGACTGTTTTTGTGCTACAAGTGGAACTCCAGAATTTAAAACCTGTCTTCCACGGTTTCCTGGTGACCCTATAGTTGATCCTGTTACAGCTGAAGACGCATTTGGAGTTTTAGGCTGAATGGGAATGGGTTTCTTCCCTTGAAATAGAGGTGCAGTAGAAGAAACCACAGGCTTTGAAACTGCTATACTGCCAGGTGCAACAGACATTCCTAGCACAGCACTCCCAACTTTGGTTCCTGTATTTTCTACAGAATGAGGTTTCAAAAAATTTCCTCCACTAGACAAAGGAACAGACGAAGGAACAACACCAACAGTACAACTTTCGGGGGTGCTACCACTTGTCCTTGCAACACTATTACTGTGAACTACAGCACTCACAAATGTATTTTGAGCAGCAGTTGACGGCTGAATATTATTCACTGATGCTGAGGAACCTACAGGAAACGTTCTTGCATTTGCAGGCAATGCACCCACAATGCTACTTGTGTTTAACAAGTGATTTCCAAAACCTGGCATTGAAACAGCATCTGATGTAGAATTCTTTGAGAGTGATCCATTATCCTATCAATAAAAGAATAACAAAGATTAGAATTCAAAAAGACACTCTTAGAAGATGCAATCAAAAGTCACAAAAAGTAATACACTGAATTCTTTATTTAATTATGAATTTTGAAATACCAGGAACACCAAAAATATTTTTGGAATGCTACGGTGTTGTAAGGAAGTAGCCAATTACGTGTGAGACGACTAAACCACAGGAAACAACAGAAATTAGTTCGCAGTTTAGTGGCTTTTTTGCATGGCCCAATCATTGTTAAGATTGGTCTCAACACAATAAACATTCCTGACATATTTCAGGTACAACCAGTTTCTGGGTTTGGCAGAGGAGGGAAACCCAAAGGACCCTTCCTATTTAGCACTCAAAAGAGGTGGTGTTGAACAGAGGCTTTTTTATTCAAAAAATAAGGCAAGAAAAAATGTCTCAGACTTCCTGAGATCATGTTTGCTGCATAAAGGGTGTCAGCTTGACGTGAGGTCTGTATAAAACAATTTTCACTGTAAAGGAATTAGAAATACAGGATTTGCAGCTAAAACATTATTTAAAGAATAAAGAGCAGGAGCAGAACACAAAATTATATCTACAACAAATCCCCTGTAAGACTCCTTCTGATTATATAATTTCAGACATTTATAACTGGATGTGTGTTTCAAATGAATGTACAGTCGACTCTCTCTTAACAGACACCTCTATAAGACAGACACTTAGAGTAGGTCCCTGCCTTTCTTTACTCCTTTTATTTGACTCTCTATAAGACGGACACCTCTCTAAGATGGACACTTAGTGCCAGTCCCAAAGGTGTCCGTCTTAGAGAGAGTTGACTGTAGAAGTGCAAAAAGTCATATCTTTATTAACAAAATAACAAAATGCGTGAGTCTCAAGCCTGCGGACCAAGGACATCGATCTCACACATCACCAACAATCTCTCACACCTGACTCACAATTCCAGATGAAATGGTTCTTAACAAATCATTAATTATAAAAATTTAATTTAATTTCCCCTAAAATATTCCAAAATGGTGCTAAATATTGACTTTGAGTCCCAAATTTATCACAACATGCTAAAATTGCTGCCTTTTAAATAGCTCACTAGACCATCTTCAGACATTTTCAGTTACATAAAATAGCCGGAAATCTTCAAAAGTTGCTGGGACAATTTTTGAAATCCAGGTCATGATAAGACAAAAATCTCAAGCAGTTGACTCTTATGACTCAGACTCTATCACCAGTGAAATCAATTCTTTAGGGTGGTGTTTTAATGACTTTAAGTTGTAAAAATTGTAAGCAAACTTTTGTGCCTTTTAAAGCAAAATTGCTTCAATGGCTATAAAAGCTCATAGTCAAATCTTGCCGTCAAACTTAAACAGTTGTAATAAGTAGTAAACTACTAGGAAACCATAAAGCATACAATGCTTGAGAGTTGACAGGTAAATAAGCAGAGCCGTAAAGTGCTTATGACCAAAAGACAAAATCAACGTCATAACCATCGTCATAAGCTCAACAGAATCATAGCATATCTGACTACAGGGTCTACCAAAAATCTAGTAAAAACCAGATTGTTCAAGATAAAAATGGAAGAAATCATCAATCCCTATGCTCACTTCTATACACCAAGATCTTATACCTACCAACTCTTATGCATTTTGGGTGAGTCTCACGCCTGTGGACTCAAGGCATTGACCTCATGCATCAAGAATAATTTATCACGCCTGACTCACTCACAAAAACAGGCAATTTTTTCTTTAACTCAGGAATAATAATGAAAATTCAATTCAATTTCCCGAAAATATTCCAATAATGCACTTAATGTTGACTTTGTATCCTAACTCTACCACAACACACCACAATAGTTGCCTTTTAAATCACTTCTGACATACTCAAAGGTGGTTAGAATATCTTCAGACATTTTCAGCAACCTTTAAATCGACAAAAAACTTTGGAAGTTGGAAATCCCGGGAATGATAAGACGAAACATCTTGTATTAGATGCAGAAAAAGTTGGCACGTATATGATCTCTTTAATCTTCTTCATCTTCTTATAACTGTGATAATCTTGTTTGTGCGAGACTGGAGTGACATAGGCAAATTCACTAGTTTGCAACATTATGCTTACAAACTACCGGTATTCAATTTGACAAAACCCTACGTTTAAATACCAGCCGCTGTTCGGAAAATGAGCCTGCGCTCTTTCCTCAAATAGACAGCTCAACAGGTGGGTTTGCTATAGTCAATTTCCATTAATCAGATCATTGCCTGCTCAAATCAAGCAGGCCGCATGAATTATCTTTCCTGGAGCAGATTTCAAATGGCCAACATGAAGGCATTCTTTAATGTGGCGTGCAGTGGAGTTTTGGTGTGTTTTGAGCTTAAAAAACTAAAATATTTACAACATAAAGTGCTAACTAGAGACTGTACAGAGAGGCTGGTTATAAAATGGTCAGAATGTTTTTGCAATTCAGCCAGCCAGATCTGGATTGTCAATTTTTTCAGTCTGTATCGATGGTTGTTGACAGCCATTGTGATAGAGACAACTTTCACATCCATTTCTGCTGTAATTTTACCCAAACAGTTTTATTTCACCCCAAACTTAACTCAAGAAAAATACCTTAAATCAGTAGGTGTTGCTGGTAAGCTTATTGGTGAACACCAAGGCAATAAAGAGGCAAAAATGAAAGCAGGTGTTCAGTGCCTGATGACATTTTCCGTTTCAGGTGTTTCATAATGACGCATAAGTTAAATTTTGAATTTACATCACAGACATGATAGGCCACCCATGAGTCCACCCATCTCTTCTCGGGGAGGAGTGAGAGAGCGGCCAAAATCAAGCCTAACAGGTCCCTTGATGGGTCATGTCACAAACTCCATGCAATCAGAGATCACTTTTGCTGTGCTCTGTGATATCATGTTGGGGCAGTTTTCAACTGGGGCCTGTTTATATAAGGTAGCTGGCCTGCTTGCCGAGGTTATAGTTGCTCAAAGCAAGATCTGCCCGCCTCCTTATATAAATGCAACAATAATTTTATAAGGAAACAAGGCATAGCTGCTAACCAGGCTGGCTCACCTCGCAGTATACAGACCCTAAATTCTGAAAACTAAACTTCAGTAAAATTTACTGAATATATATATATTTACTATCTGTTTCTTAAAACAGGCATGTAGGTCATCAGCTAGTAATGTTGCTGCTGTTTGTCGATTATTTGAGATTCAATACCCTAAGAGCCTGTGGTCCTCACTGCTCACCAAAAGCCTTTATACATTTATACTTTTGTGACAAAGAAAGTTTGTATTGACTATTAACATGCTAAGATGTGAAGCAGAGTGGTATAGTTAAATCCAGGTGCACAGTACAATTTGATAACCTACAACCTCCAAAGAGGACATCTTCTCAGAGAGGTAGTTTGATCAGTCATATCTTGTGATGTACACATGTCAGAAATTGAAAAATAATCGAAGACAAATACGCACCTGACTATTACTGCGGAGAAATTCCTGCAATGCATTCGGGTCACTGTGTAGAAAAGTAAATATGATATCAAGTCAATTAGGTTACCCTTAATTAAAACCATTTCACTTTCTTTATTTTTGGAGTCTTTAATGACTACATTTAAGCTAACAGAGAAGAAAACATGATACTTTGTCAGCTCATTCTCCGCAGCAGCCTACCAAAAACAGTTTCTAATAATTTCCTGACCTTATTACGTCCAAAAGACATTTTGAAGTCCCATCGTCCATAGTTTAAACACGATAAACAGATTAATAAACTTGTGTTGTAGGGTTTGGCAATAACTTCACTGACCCTGTAAATAAAATAAGTTTCATTAAAACCATAAGCTTACTACACAAAATATTCTCGGAAATAGACAATTCTTCACAAACCAGACAAATATAGAATTACAGATAGCCAAGTTCAGCTTCCGGAAAGATACTCGTAAGGCTTCTCTCCAACTATGGATCCTCTAAACTTCTTTGAATATTTTTTTTACAACCAGGGGGGAAAAAGCCCCCTATTCAAGAGGTACGGCCGGCACTACAGAGCATAAAGTAACGAACATATGAGCTTCGTGTTCGATCGAATGGCCTACCTGTGCTTGTTAGCATATGATCAAATCCACGGGCCTTTAGCGGTCCACGGAACCAAATTGCTCCCTCATGTTGACTGACAGGAGAATGTACTATGTCTGGAAATGGTCGTTTCGGTCCCGGGCCGAGCAAATTTCCTGTTTTGGAGTGATTTTAGCTAAAATTTCACGACGGACATGCGACCGCGACTCGCATTTGTTCCAAGCAACAATATGTGGGGAGTCCAGGGGCTCGCACGTGATCATTAGTGTTTCGAGTACTGGGTTCTATTTCCGGTAATTTTTTGGCGGGAAGGGGCTTACCCTTGAGGCTTACCCAAGCAAAAGTAAAAGTGCTAAATGAAGTAATAAGTAATTTTAGAGCGGAAAAATTGCTACTTTTATAGAAGAAACATTGATTGAACATTGATCAACATTCTGTTAGTGTTCCTGTGTTAACAGCAATTGATTTAAACACCGAGATAAATTAAATATTTCACCAATTTCATATTGTATACAATATTTTACAATTTATAATTTTACAATTTTATGTAGCTTTTTTTAATTCTCGAACAAAGAATTAAAATTTTGTAACTTAACAACTTGCTCTAGCTATCTATCGACAAAAAAAACCGCTTTGCCATTTACAAAACCATGTTTTTCCAAGTTGTAATTATAAACAGGGCCGGTAGTATCGCTAGCCGCTGTAAATTACAAATAAACGACAGAAACTGAACAGCAAACTGCACTGATCCTTAGGGCAAAGCCGCGACACGAGCTTCTATAAATAAAATTTTAAAAGGTATATCGCTATAATATTTGTGCCCGATATTTCAGTTTGAAACACAAACCTTCGTTGTATCTTTAACTGATTCAGATCTTCTTTAGATCAAGACTAGTCCGTCGAGTCCAGCCACTGTAGTCATTGGTTTATAGAAGAGCTGTTCTGTTTTTAAGTCTGTGAAGCCGGTACAATCCACAAGGAAACAAGCCAAAGAAAGCCCTTGTAAACTTGCATCGAGAGTTTTCATGCCTCTCTGAAAAAAAACAGCCGAGTGAAGCAAACTTTTTGCATTGCCATATATGAATTTTGAACTTATGATGGGTGTCCCCCCTCAATCTAAATATACGTCTCTCTTGTAACTATCTATATTTGTCATGGTGACGTCTAAAATCACTGGCCGTTCGTGTCTAAAAGGTGGCTTTGAGCTTTGGTATAGTGTAAAATGCAGAATCAATGCAACAGCCATTCACCTGAACACCAGAGTTACAAAGTAATAGACCATTTGCATGCATGGTGACGTCATTTTACTACTAATCATAATAATATAAATAATAATATGTCTTTATTTCATAGAATAAAAATACGTACTTCATATAACGACAACTATAATTCAGAAAAGAGCCAAATGTTACCAATATATGATGCAGATAAAATGACAAGATAAAAGAATTTTAAAAAAGTACACTGAAATATCTGAGAAATAACGAATTTCGTATCCAAAAGACAATTTAAAAATGGTAAAATGACATGGTGAAAACTTAAAAAAACACAAAGAAAAAATCTAAACGGATAAGTTGTAATGAAATATTAAACGATTTTAAAAAGTTTCCACAAACCTTTGGGTGTTAATTGTCGGCCTAACAGCAGAACTACGATGCAGCTGGTACAGGGGCGGATCCAGGATTTTTTTTAGGAGGGGGTGCACTCGTCTCTTACTCTACTTCAACACCAATAAACCACATAGTTTTTTTTTTTGCAGAATACCAGTTGTATTAAAAAACCGCAGGTCATCTCGGGGGGGAGGGGTGCGCAGCCCCTGCACCCTCCCCCTAGATTCGCCCCTGTGGTGCTTAGGCTCCGTAGCTTTGGGAAGCATGTGATGGATAGGGTGGCCTTCCCACTTAGGCGCTGTTTACATGGAGGTGGGGTACCCCAAGTAGGTGAGGTAACATGTGGCGGGTCACCACACCTATCATGTGAACGTGATCACATTAAAATGAGAGATTATACGGACAGGCGGGTTACTACACCTTAGCGGGCTTGGGACCCCCACCTCCATGCAAACAGGACCTTAGACACTTTGCTGTAAATTCTTCTGTCTTTTTTTCTAGGAGCTCGCCGATGTCAACATTGTGAGAAATACAATTATGCTTAAGCATCTATTTAGAAAACATTGCAGTGGCGTCTCCAGGGGAGGGACCCGGGGGGCCCGCCCCCAATATTTTTATACCAGACTGAGGTATTGGAGACTAGGCACCCCTTACAGTCTCGGGGTCTGGGTCTGGATGTATGTATGTATGTATGTATGTTGAAAGTTGAGCCTCGAAGGCTTCATATGCTGACAAACCATACACTAAGTTCGGCAACACTATAGATTTAAATAGGTGGTCTATTTCTAACTGACTGTAACCTTCTTTGCATAGAGATCTTAAAACTACTACTAACAGAATGCTTCAATGTAGTGCTTAAGGTAATGCTTATCACCATTTTCACATTCATCATGATGCACCTTGTTTACCACCCCTCTCCCCCCCACACCAAGAAAAAAATTTTGCATAACCATTTGTTTGCCATCAGTTATCCTGGGTATTACAGTCATCCCAAGAGAAATTGAATACAACGGTTCTGCAAAATTTCCTGGGTAAAAATGGTGCAATATGGTCTAGGTCGGAAAATGGAGAATTGCCATATATTAAGGTGGCTCGACTGGATTTTTTGGGGTTGATACCTTCCAACTTTGAGCATTAACTACGTCGGCATGAGTAAAGATATGGTAAAAAGGTTACCACAACTGTATTATATAAAGATGAAAATTTCTTATGATCTGGGTTTTATTGCAATCGGAGTCGCCATGGCAACGTAATGACGTAATTACGTTTTTCATGTATCTTTGTGTTTCTCTGTTCCAGGAGTTTTTTCAAGAAATCGCTTAAGGCAGTATGTACCTGCTATAATTGCCTCCATTATAGCATAGTTTAAACAAATTCTATGAGAGCGTTTTCGAAATATTTTGAAATGTAGTTTTAAGAATGATAAAAACAGTGAAATAGCATGCTACCTACACAATTCGCTAATATTTTAAGAAAATGATAAGCTTTGGGAACGAGGCTTCATCTCATTGTGGTTTGACTCCATTGAAAACTGCATACGAAAAAAGAGGGGAATTGCTCTGGGCGATCGCGAGTAAGAAGAATTTTATTAACTTGCATTTAGCTGCTTTTGATACAGTTTTTGGACGTAATTTGGTCCATCCCTAAAAATTTCGCATTTTTCCAAAAACCGCTCGATAAATTTTTTATAAATTCGACAATCCCGAGATCAATCGTCAAGAAATATTCCCTGCAAGTTTTAAGAACATTGAAAACATGGAAGGCTTTTAAATAGGGCCTCAAATATAACCAATTTTCCCCCCAGATTTTGTGTTTACAAGTGAGCGTCCTCATTATTCACTGGCATTGTTTTCAGGTTTCATATACACTTGCAAAAAGATAGAATTTGCATCAAAAAGGACCCTCGGTTAAATCTTCGGGATATGCTAATTACCGGGTAAAGAGATTAATGATACATTATAACATCAGAGCAACTCTTTGTGATAGTTTCTGTGATGTTATAACCCGAGTAAGATAATTAAGTATTCCATCCTACACGATGAGCCGTGACGTTCACCGTTTCGGCTCTCACTGCTATCTGTGACGACAAGCCAACTATTAACATATTCCTGATATTTCTTCGGAAAGTAATCGAGAGTTCTTTTTTACGCAAATTTATATCTTTTGCTGGTTGTGCACGTGCATATTAAACTTGAAAACAATGCCAGTGAATAATGAGGACGCTCACCTGTAAACACAAAATCTGGGAGGAAAATTGGTTATATTTGAGGCCCTATTTAAAAGCCTTCCCTATTTTCAATGTTCTTGAGACTTGCAGGGAATATTTCTTGACGATTGATCTCGGGATTGTCGAATTTATAAAAAAATTTATCGAGCGGTTTTTGAAAAAATGCGAAAATCTTAGGCATGGACCAAATTACGTCCAAAAACTGTATCAAAAGCAGCTGAATGCAAGTTAATGAAATTCTTCTTACTCGCGATCGCCCAGAGCAATCCCCCTCTTTTTTTGTTTGCAGTTTCCAATGGAGTCAAACCACAATGAGATGAAGCCTCGTTCCCAAAGCTTATCATTTTCTTAAAATATTAGCGTATTGTGTGGCTAGCATGCTATTTCACTGTTTTTATCATTCTTAAAACTACATTTCAAAATATTTCGAAAACGCTCTCATAGAATTTGTTTAAACTATGCTATAATGGAGGCAATTATAGCAGGTACATACTGCCTTAAGCGATTTCATCAAAAAACCCCTGGAACAGAGAAACACAAAGATAAATGAAAAACGTAATGGCGTCATTACGTTGCCATGGGGACTCCGATTGCAATAAAACCCAGATCATAAGAAATTTTCATCTTTATATAATACAGTTGTGGTAACCTTTTTTCAATATCTTTACTCATGCCAACGTAGTTAATGCTCAAAGTTGGGAGGTATCAACCACAGAAAATCCAGTCGAGCCACCTTAAAATTCACAATTGAAAGACGAATTTAGTGGATTCTAGAAGTATTAGGGAAAATAACGGCCACGTGTAAAAGAACAAAAAGACTGACGCGATGTGTT